GGCAGGAGCGCTCCGATGATCTCCCCCAGTCTATCAACTGGGCTTCCAGTCTGCATCGTAAGACCCAAATGCGTGCGTGCAGTGGTCACCAGAGCTCATGGATTTGTATCGCCTGCAACTCAGGAGCTAGTGTATTTCTACTGATACTGCTTTGGCAGTTGGCTTTAGTTTTTTGTGAAATCTGATGTAGCTGTTGTAAGGCAAGCACATCATGAGCTGGATGAACTGGGGGGGGGATGCTCTTACCCGCCATGTATGTTAACAGACCTCGCTGCTGCTGTGCGGTGATGGCAGTTACACTGCCCAAACCCCAGAGATATTACAGAATTCAAGAGGGGAGAACACCTATAGGTTACTTCCTTTTTTTATATTTATTTGAGGTAAAGAAAAGCATTGGTGTAAAACAGCCTTTCAAATATGGCAGTCATTTACTTGCTGTGTCAGCAATATGTCCAAAAGAAAAGGCATGCTCCGTAACCTACATTTCAAAGGTCACAGTGCTACTGCTCCAGCCTTCTGAAAAATCACAGTTCGAGCCAGCATCATGGCTGGTTTGAAGATTTGGTCTGTTTTGCTGGTGATACTATACCATTTCTGTCAAAGATGTATCCCAAGTGGAATTTCAACACATGTTGAAATAGGTAAGACATGTTCAAAATGAATTTTCATGCCTTTTGAGTTGCTTGGGAAGAGAAGTAAATTTAGATTTGGCTGGAAAGCAAAGGGAGGAAGTAATATTAAAGTAACGAGCATGCTACATCATTTAAAAAAAAACTTGAATAACACAGGATAGATGAGTAGTTTCGTTTTGGAGTTTGAAAATTTACTGGTTTGTGTAAGCAAAATGCTTGAGTCAATTTGGTTGCGTATTTTTCTGTCTTCTGAAACACAGGCATTATGTAACTGGAATGTTTGTGTCTGAGTCTTAGGCAGACAGGGTTTGGTTTGGAGAAAGAAGAGGAATATGCAGTTTATGGGATTGTTATATTTAAACAAGAGAATAACACAGATCATGTGTGGTAGCTCTGTTTTCAAGTCACCGTCTATTCACTTTGCCATACCTGCATAAAATAGATAAAATGCTGTAATGTGTTTGTATCTATGACTAACATAATGAAAATTTTGTTCTGTGTCTCTTTCTGGTAGGTTGCTATCTGTAGCCTGAAAAGCCTAGATTTGTAGAGAATGAAGGAGAGAACTGAGTGAACATCAAAGTGGGGGAAATACTTTTGGTTTTAATTTCCTGTTTGCATGTGTTATTTTTAAAATCCGGTTTCTGCTGTAGTTCTTGCAAGAACACTCATGCATAGTGCAAGGTTATTCTGAAACGTTGACTCATAATAAATTGACGGTTTTAATTGTTTGCTCTTCTGTTGCTGATTCTAAATCCGTTGTTCAAACAGATAGTAAAAGGTATGATGTCTCTATTCAGGTAATCTTCTCAGACTTTAAGTACTGAATACATGCAGCTTTGAACAAGTTAAAGGCTGGGATTATTCATGGCATTCATTTGAGACTGAGAGTATGTTCCCTTACTGAGTGTTGTACCCTAGGTCAGCGTCCTGCAACCATTCGCTTTTCCTAACGACATGCCAAGAAATCCACAGTACTCAGTAGGAGAAGTCACACTGCCTGATGTTAGGCAAGCGCATACACCTTTGCAAGCTCAGGGCTCTAGTTACTGAGCATGAGCTTCTGAAAACTTGAAATAACAGATTTGGCAGAATAGAGTGTATTTGCAAGAAATCTATGAAGAGAAACAAGAGCTTGGGCATCTGTCCCAAAGCAGTAATTTTTTTTCTAACCAAGGAAACCTATTGCAGAAACCTGCATTTATATAATTTAAAGATCTTGGTTATCTGAGGAGTAGTGTGTACACTGAACTATTGGGTCATAGTTTACAACAAATTTTGTCCATCTGTCTGAAAATGACCTTAAACTGCATTCAGCTCTGATGTTGCTAAAATCAGTTATTTTATTAATGTGCAAATAAAAGTCCATGCTGGTAAGATACTGAAAGTTACTGCCAAATCCAAACACTGAGTATTCCAGGAAGAAAAAAACAAACTGTAGAAAGGAACTCTTCTGACTCCAAACCAGCACCAAAGTCTATCCTGGACAGACTGCTGAAAGTGCTTTTAAAACAGTGAAAAGCTCTGCCTGTTCAAAATGTTGATCATGTTCGGTGTGCTCAGCAGAGCTGTGCTGTGTCCTACTTGCCATGGCCTTGTTGCTGGAGGCAGGTCTGAGTGGGGAGGCTCTTCCCCGCCCCCCCCCCCGGGGGCTCCCATCAGACCTGTGGGGCTCTGTGGAACTTTGGGGATCCATCACGAAATTTGTTGTAAAGGTGAACTTTCAGGACCTGGGCCCATATGAGTAATGAGGTAAGTCGGGGGGGGGATGGGGGACAGGAGACAGGAAAAGCAAACTGCCAAACTGAGAGTCTCCCTCACTTTAAGTAGAGATGTGTGTTGAAATGGCGGAGCCTTAAAATGATAGACTTTTTTTTATATTATTATTATTTTTAAATTATTCCTGGTTTGGTGCAAGATTGGTCCTTAAGGTATTTTAGCATATTTGTATAAGGATGGTTTAGATCAGTGGTTAAACATATTCTGGGTTATCTTCATCAGTCTTAGTCTGTAAATAGCTTTAAGTGAGGAGTAAAACTTTGTGTGGGAAGACAAGACCATAACCCATGCATGCAGCTTCAACCAAATACTTTGAGAGGCAATGTTGTGTATTTTTAGAATAGTGTTAATGGATTGTTCCTGAGAGCTAATGTTAATTAGGAGGAGACTTCATTAAAGAAAAGTGATGTCAGTTTGCTTCATTCTTGTGTTACGCTTGCTCAATAAATATTTTGGCAGTGAAAATACCTACCTATGCAGTGAATAAACAGTATTGTTTACCTTGCTGACTTTAGATTTTTGCTAGTTTTTGTACATGTTAAAAATTAATCAAACTGTTAAATGTCTGCGTTGATTCATGAGGTACCTTTTTCAATGTTAAGTGCAACTGAAGTGAAACTGAAATACAATTCATGTGGGTCCTTTACAGCTAGAATTTTATTATCTGTACTCTATACGTGCTGGGTGTGATCCGTGCCAGCTCACTGCTGTCGCTCAGTTCTGGACCCGGGGAGTTCCTTTTCCCTGCCATTAAGCACTGTCGGCTTTGTTGGTCAGGTTGGGAACTGGGCACTAGGGAGAGACTGATGGGACCTCAGTGTCCAGATGTGCCACAGAAACAGCATTTCCTTATTAGCTGCCTAGGTGAGAAAACACACCCTCCCACATGTACAGCATTTTCTGAGAAATTGTGTTTCATGCACCTGCACCGCTTGGCTTGGATATGACGATGCAGTGTATTCTGCTTTTGATAATGCTTCTAACAAAATGAGCCTGGCTACAGTACCTGTAAATCAATACTTCAATATGTTATTTTTCAGCACATAGAGCTCTGGAATTTTTCATTAAGCGTGAAGGGAATGTTAATTATAGACAGGTAGGAAGCCTATTATTGCTTAGTTGTGTACACCTTTTTTCTGAGTTTTTCTGTCTGTCTTGCCTTTCTTTTCTTTATTATTTATTCTCAGTAACGTGTAACTATTGTGCCTAGACTGTACTTTTACCTTGTTTTGTTGAAAATCACTTGACTCCTTCTGAATACTATTGCAAATATGAAGTAGTTATAATAATGTGTATATACTGTGTATGGTTTCTCTCATTCTTTCCCATCATCTTAAGTCATACCCTCTGTGGGTGGTTGTATTAGAAGAATCAGTAGAGGGCTTTCGGAAAGGAGATTTAGTAAACATAAGGGTAGCAAAATGACAACAAGGTTTTGAATTTAGTCCACCGCGTGTATCATTTAACCAATTTCTGGTTGGTGCAAATAGCTTTTTCTTTCATGGGCTGCATCCAGAAGAGCACTGCAAGCATGCGGGCAGTTTTCATAAACACGTGAACTACGTGTTTTGTGTTTAAAACATTTTTAATACCCTTTAGCACAATGTAAAGAAGACCATTTTATATAATTGGATCTTTTATCAAAGTAGGAGATCATTCAAGGGCAGTGTTCAAATTGTCTGCTGTAGACAGCTATGCTGTGATTCAGAGGATGGGAGATAGCAGACCAGGCTTTGTGTCTAGTCCAAGAGGAGGAGGGCACCTTCAGAAGGTGACTTCACCAGTACTTAAATTAGATCGTATGAATACTTTCCTAAATGGTCTTTCAAATTATGGTGTATACTGATTAGTTTAGTTTCGCTTACAAGTATTTTGGCAAGGGGGGGAGCAGGGCGGGATGATGGTGGATGGTGACAACACTGATGTAATTGTATCTTGCTGAATATTTAAATTTTATGTTCAATATTGCCAGTGAACTGTGGTTTTGTGCTGTGCAATAGTATTGTGATTCCTTTTTCCCCCATCCTTTGCCCAGTTATTGCTAGACCACCAAGACGCATTTCAGGCTGGGAGCATTTATCCTGATGCCTTTTATCCTTCAATCTGCAAAAGAGGTAAGAAAAGCTTTATAAGTCCAATATTGTAACAACTGTATTTTTATGTGAAAATCCTACAGAATTTAGTAGGGTTGAAAATAGTTATGTTGTAAGAAATGAAGTATGGCCAAAAATACCTTCTGGCATCCACTATTTTTGTCAGTACTTTGAGCCTTTTTGTAGAACTATGTAAGAAAATAATACATTTAAAAATATTCTAAGAAAGTAACTTTGGGGTAAATCGAACTATTTAATGTGTAGAGCAATTTGATAGAAGGATGCTGTTTGACTAAATTAGGTCAGATGACTGGGTACTGTCTTGGGGAGAAATTGAGAGGACAAATTTTCTAAGTCTTAGGGAAAGCCTGGAGCTCATTTCTGTATTAAGAAGTACAAGTTTCTAGCAGATCAGTCACGAAGGTGATTGGAGAATATAAAAAGCTCGCAAAAACAAAATAGTGTAGGACTTGCTGGGGGTGGGGAGAAAAGTTTAGCATCCCAGTTGAAAGCCTTTCCTTTCCAGACTGCTGTCTTTTGCCTTCTCCTGTTTGAAATAAACATCAGTCTTAGTTTTGGTGCTTGCAGATCTAAAGACTGTGCTACAAAATTAGCACCCTGTTGCAGTGGCTGTAAAGAGTATGTCTTGACTTGCAGCTGAGCCCCTGATTTTTCAGCTCTGGTAGGTCAGCTCGTGATCATAATCAGCTTCTCCAGCAACACCGGAGCTATAAAACAGCCAGCTAGGGCTTGTTCCAGGATATTTGCTACTAAAGTGGTAAATCTGGATAGTCAGCAATTAGCAAGCAGGACAAAGACAGCCTGTCCCCCAACAAACAAGTTGTTGGGATGTTTAGGCAGAACCAGGGACAAGGCAGTGATACATAGTTTGTGTGAGGCTATCTGGCCAATTGCTTGTTGACATCTTACTGAAAGTCTAAAGTGAGGGAGGTGTTTATTTTAGTAGGTCATGCAAATTCAGGCCCATTAACTTCAAAGTGTTCTTAGGATCTTTTTTCTCCTTCCTCCTTTTCTATTCTTTTTTTCTTTTTTTTTTTTTCCCCAAAGGAAAAATCAAATACTGATATAATTTTATTGCAATAGGAATATTCCATGATGTGTCTGAAGACACTCACTGGTCACCATTTCTCAATACAAGTATTCACTACATCAGAAGGAATTTTCCTCAGCCTTGGGAAGAGGTAAGAAAAATTCCTTTAACTTCTGACTTTGCTTTCTACTGTTTTCTTCACCTTCACATGTTGTTGCAATTTCATCCTTTGGGAAGTGTAGAAAAAATACACATTTTTAAATTAAAGTCTCCACCGATACAGGAAAATTTTAAATCCTATTTTCATCTTTACCAGACAAAAAAGTTATGGTATCAGTTATGTCCAATGTGGTCTGGTGCTTACGATACATTTCCTAGGTCCAAACTGTCAAATGTGATTGGTGTTCTTGCATCATCATCAGATCTGGTTGAGTGTTTGCCACTTTAAAACCAGGCGTCTTTTAGAATTCTCACTTGTGAAATCTTGGACTTACTTAGTCCTAATCTGCTCTTGTTTGTGGCATATGAGCTACATAGGAGGAGGGGAAAAACAAATTGTCAAATTGAGAATGATTTTAAAGGTCATATTGTTTTCTCCTCCTTACTGGAGAATTTGCCATTCTGTCTCCGCTGAGGAGAGTCATACAGGTTGAGCATCATTTGAGAGCTTGCACTCTTTAAAACCTAAGCAAATCTACTTGCCTTTTGACTGGCCATTGGTGAGACTGATCTTGTGAACTGTTAACCCTTGGGAAGTACAAATTTGTCAAAAACTGTGATTCAATTACTGGAACTTACAGTGATTTAATGCAGAGAAGTCTTTTCTGGAGAAATGAAATTTTTGTTGCTGATGAATTTATTCCAAATAACTTTTCTGTTTGTAGGAATAAGATGGGTAACTCCATATCTAGGCTTTAATCGGGTATTTTTACAGTGAACAGCACTTGCATAGGAATGTCTTTCTCTCCTCTGTGTGTCTGCACAACACCCATGGTGGCAGAGAGGGTTCACTCCTTGGAAGTGTTTGTCCTCAGTTCAGAAAAACACATTAGTACACATCTCACTTGAAGTACACAAGTCGTCCTGACATCAGCCATGTAATTTTATGGCCTTGGACTGTGCTTAAAGTGCTTAAAACTCCCCAAGTCACAAAAAGTGACTCCAGCATCAAGGAATGATGATCAAGACTTTGTCATCCTAAGTTCTTGGATTGTAAGAGTTTCTCACCTATATCCTTGTATAATGCACTAACATAAAATGCTCACCTCTTCTTAAAGACAGGAGTAAAATTACTGACATTACTACAAATGGATTGTTGTTGTGTAGGCTACAGAGAAGCTGGTGGCTTTCCTGTTTGGAATTGCCTCACATATGGTGGCAGACGTTAGCTGGCACAGCCTGGGCATCGACCAAGGATTTCTAAGGGCCATGGGAGAAGTAAGCCTGTATTATTATATTTATTGATATAACTGGAGTTATTGGAATTGATAGTTTGGCTTTGAACTCTGGTCCAAAGGTCTGGGGAGGGAAGAGAAAAAATGGAGCCCTGTTTCAGGAAGACTTTCAGAGAGACACAATGTCACAAACTCCATAAGAACAAAGTTGGTCAGGTTTGGGACCTGTAAACTTCAGGGTTTGCTTCAACAGTTTGTTTCTGTTCATATGTTTGTATGGAAGGATGAGTAAAATAAGCAGATGGTTCTCTTGTTTTTCTTTCTCCAGATTGATTTTCATGGTTCATACTCAGAAGCTCACACTGCTGGCGATTTTGGTAATGTTTCTGTTTTCTGATCATAGATCCTTCTATTGGAATAACTAGTCCCCTTCAAAACCACAGTGGGTGATTCTGGCTCTTACCCTGTGCAGTGCAGGACCCAAGAATGAGTCATATAGACACTGTATTCTCACTCTTCCCCCGTAGCTTGCAAAGCTCTGCTATCCCTGTCCTCATGCTCGATGTTTCAGGAGATGCGATAGGGCATAAAGGCCAAAACACAGGTGGAAGGATGCTAAAGTTTAAATGGAGTCACTACTGTGATTTTTAAATTTTACATTATTCTTATTCTCTGGAAGTATAAAATATGCAGCATACTTTCAGGTGAACTACTTATGTATTCTAAATATACAGCTGGAGGATCTACAATATAAACATAAATAGCAAAGCCATACATAACTTCATCTGCACTGTTATCCATGATAGATACTTAATGGGTTTGGTTTGTTGGGTTTTGTGGGGTTTTCTTCATTCTTCCATCTGCAGGAGGAGATGTGGTGAGTCAGTTTGAGCTGGACTTCAGTTATCTGGCATCAAATTGGTAAGATAATTATAATATTTAATCATAATAATATTTAAATAAAATACAAATAATAAAAAAAATAATGTAATAATTATTTCTTCTTATTCCATATACTCACTGTGTTTTAACAACATGCTCTCCTTTTTTATCTTTCTTTCAAAAGAAACCCTTGCAGCTATTGGAATTTTTCTGAGTTTGGTATTATTTATATGCATATTTACTGTTCCCTGGCATGAAAAATTGGAAGAACACAAGAAAAAAAGTTTTACATATAGGAACACAGCAAGAAAGTTCAAATTATTTATCTCTGAAGGGAATTATAAGTAACTATATATAAAATAATCATTGAAAAAGCTTTGCTGGAATGTCCGAGCAATTAGTTAAATAACTCAGTTAAATAAATCTCACTTAGATTACCATGTCAATTTTTGGAATTTGCGGATATTTATGGTTATAGATGCTGTGGAAATCAGACAGGTTATAAAAGCATAAAAAGAAGTGACAGTTTTAGATAGACATGATTTTTTTCTTACAGTTTTTAACTGAAATAAAAGACTTGCATGCCTTTTTTTCTGCTGATAAAGTAGGTGATTTGAGTTATTTTGTTTAAGTAGAATGTTGTTCATCTAGGTGTAGAAGGCACAGTTCATGAATAAAACTCTGGCGCAGCTGTGGGAAATGTGTATTTGGTTAGGAGTAGATTTGGCACAGCGTAGAGTTGGAGGGCATCCGTCAAGATTATGTGATCACCAAGCCAGGGAACGGGTGTAGGGAGTGTGGAAACTCTACCAGTAGTATCCATAGGGGAGTGGCTCTACAGGTTTCTGAGTCTGAACCTAAACAGGAGGAGTGTGCTGCACCTGCAGTCCTGGTCTTTCTGGCATTTGTAAATCTTCATGACCTTCTATAGTCTTTTGAAATTTAGAATGCTTTAACACAGGCTGTTGTTATTACAGAAACTATAATCTTTTATCAGGTGATGTGGAAAAACTCTTACTATAATACTTTTGCCTTGTTTTTAGGTATGTGCCTGTCAAAGACCTAGCAGCTATCTATAAGGAATTTTATGGAAGAGAGATCATAACTGAAAGCACAATTACTGACTGTACTTACCTGCTGTTTCTTGAACTGTAAGTTGAACGGCTTTGTTTCGGTTTTCATAAGTGAAGCATATGTAGGAAAATGATGATAATCCTATTTGAAATGCTAGCTCAGAAATTTATGCATTGAGGTCAGCAGTATAGACTCCCTACTAGACCCCCAAATCATAAAACACATGAGTTTTTTTAATGGCTAGAATACAAATTTGCACTGATTAATAACTGTTAAATTCGTCATCACACCATAGATTCAGCATCTTAGCTATTTAACACATTTATGCATTTAATGTAACCATGCCTATCTACGTGAGAACAGCTGTGTCTTTAAGTACCATTGCATGATGGCATGTTAGCAATATAATTTTCAGGTACTGAAGGAGTAGTGTACATACCTAAGTAGATGGCTTATCTACACTTTATGTAGACTCTTTCAAGTCCAAGAATAATTCAAAAGAGACTTTTGGTATCAGGCAATGTCTGCTTTTGAATGTCCTAAACAGCCTAGCTGTATTCTTTATTTCCGTTAATTACCAGTAGTCATGTAGCATTTACAACCACAGTGAATCCCTCCAAATTAGGGGCAGCAATAAAGTTAAGGTCATTACTTCTCACATTAGAGCTTTCAAAAATGTATTAACAGCCAACAAGGAAATGTAATGACTTGCATAGTATTTACCATACAGAAGCCTTGAAAAGAACTATCTAAATAATTAAATATTATTAAATGAAGCAAATTTATTTCTGAATATTTTTTTTTTCAGGCATGGAGAAAGGCTTGCTGTTGCCAAGGTTGGTCTTCTGTTTTCTTTATAAAAATGAGCAAGTAGCATGAAGATATGTAACCCATTTTACTAAGTATGTTGCTTGTCTCTCAGCTTTTTCCAACCTACGCTAGCAAATCTCCATTTCTGGTGGAAAAGTTCCATGAGTATTTCCTCGGAGGAGTGGATGACATGGCATTCTGGACAAACAATATTTTTGAGCTGACGAGCCATATGCTGGAGAATGGAACAAGGTATAGCTGTGTTTCCTGCAATATGATACGCAGCAGTCAAGTTCTGACACCCATTTGATAGTTCTTCTGAAGGCAGGTTCTTTCCTAGAAGAGATGCTGGACTTTAAATCCTCACTTGGACAAAGGGATTTCTGTGGCAGTCTTTTACCCAGGTGCACAGGATTGCATGGGCCTTGAGTTTGCCTTTGTTACATGTTCACACTCCTTTCCCCAGGCAAGGCTCTGGCGTGCCCAGCTGATACTCGATGGAAAATTTGGGGCATTCTTTAAGACGTACTCAAGGGCCTGCTTAAATGTTTCATAGCCATGCCCTGAGGTTCTGCCTGGCTTGGCAGTCTGAGCCATGGTAGCACCTTTTCTTTTGGCTGCTAGCAAAGATTTCTCTTCCTAGGGGAGGGCAGATACTGCCTTCAGACACTGAAGACAAATGTAATTAGAAAGAGTAAGAGTATGTATTCCAGTGTTGGAAGCTGTGGGTTGTACCTGGAATATCATATTTTTATAGAAGTTCCGGCCCTCTATTGCTCTGTTACAAGTGTAACTTTACTGTGAATAAGTTTGTAAGACCAACAGTGGCAACTAATCCATCCATTTATATGGAAAAGATCACTGCAGCTCTTTGGGGAAATTATGTTTGAAATACAAAATGGCATAATTTGTTGTGTCCCTTCATTAAAAATGCTTTAGGTTATTAGAATTAGCAGGACACGTTTCAATAAGTTTCCTTTAAGAGTTATATAAGGAAGGACATGTGAGATTCATATAGAACCTAATCAAGGTCATTAAAATAAACACCAAAGGGGTTTCTCAGGATCATAATGATGCTCCGATTTTGAATAAGCAAGGTTTCTTGAGAAAACCGATGACTTCTAACAGAGGAATCAGTACGAATAAAAGTTGTATTTTTAGTTTCACTTTCTTTGTGGGAAAATGTTTAAAATGCATTCTGCATATTTCTTTAGTGGCTGCTTCCTGCCTGAGAACCCTCTGTTTATAAACTGCACAAGGGAGCACAAGGACAGCTACGTGTAAGTATAGCTCTGAAGGTTCAAAGATCTACTGGTGAAAGGAGAGTCCTCCACAAATGTGAACAGTGAAGCTATTGAAAATTAGAGATATTTTGGTCTACCTTTCTGTGTGTGAATTTGAGTTTCTTTTAACTTGATTTTACCTTCCAGCCTAATGACAAGAATACTTACCTAGCACTTGTGCTAAATCTTCACGCTTCATTTGCTTGTCACTCTTTGTTCCGCTAATTATGAAATTACTGATTCAAGTTTGCCCTTACCATAGATAATTCTCTCCTGATTTACATACAGAAATATGGAACTCAGCTGTTCAGAGCGCAAGTGTATGTACAAGTGTATGTATTCCTCTAGCAAGCATCTCAAGAGAAACCAGCTTAATTGGTATCTCTGGAGAACTCCCTTTATATATGGGAGAAATAGCCACCGGGTTGCATGCATTATGATTGCTTCTCCTAGGTTTGTCATGAAATACTCAAGTAATTAATTCAGTTATACTAATTGTTATTACTGTCTTTTTTATTTTAGCAGAAATAAACAATCAAAAAATGAACATCACAAGAATACAACTTCTTTGCTTACAGAAACACTTGAAAAGAATATAAATTATACAGAGAGAGGAGTTCACTTCAACATACAATCTTGGGCAACAGTAAGTGAGAAGTGATGTGTCAGGTAAAATTCAACTCTGTATAAAATTGTTTTAATTTCTGTCTGAGATGCTGCGTGTTAGAGCAGGGTCTCTGGATGTTAACAGTAGCCTGTGACTTCACCTCACAGAGATTCCAGTGGCCATTGTTAATCTATATATGTACATCATGAATATTCAACTTTTACACTTTTCTCATTGTATACTGAAGTTAGAACACATCTTGCAGTGCCAAAATATATAATATATAACATATAAAATATATGATACATAATAAATGACAAAATACATCTTTAGTACTCACACTTTAGTATTTACATTTTACAGAATCATATGATTGCTTTTTGGGGTTAAGGAGTCCCAACAAAGCATAGTAGTCAACAATTAACAGTGCTCCATTTAGAGCATACAGATTTTTGTCTCTATCTAGAATGGTGCTTATGACCTGAGTCAGAGGCCACTTAGATCAATGTGGTGATTTCCACTGTTGGTGACTTGGTTTCGAGGTGCTCCATAACGTTCTAGAGTTTCAGCCTGTGTTTTAACCATTCTTGTGTCTCTTCATTATTTTTATTTCAGAATTCCCTCCACTTGATAAAGCGTGCTTTTCAAAGCAATGTCTGGAAAGCATTAGCAGCTCCACATCAAAAATCTTCTAAGTACATTTCCAAGCCAGCAGCTTCATATTTTCTGACTTCACCCTATGCTAGACTTGGATGGTTAGTAATTTTTTTCTTCCCACCTCCCTCTTAATTTCTGAAAATTCTGAGTACTGACCAAAATATTTATGTCTATTCTTTGGATACTCTTTAAAGGTGACGGTCCAAATCTGGCTGAATGGCTTATATTGTCTGGCCAGAACAACAAGTTAACCCATAAAACCTTTCTTTCAGATGTTAGCATAAGCTTCTTTGAGTTGGAACTGAACAAAACTGTATCAAGAGCAAAATTTCCATTCAGATGTGAATTCTAGTCAGATAACCTCTTTCTTTGGAAGGGTTGTCTTGTCATTTTTTTATGTTCTCTCCTTAGTGAAGGGGCTCAATACTCTGTGTGTGATCAAGCTCAAAATGGAAGGAATCAAAATTAGAACCAACATCAGCTCTAGTTCCAAACAGTATAGGAACATTGTTACCCTTTTTTTTGTTATTTGTTGATGCTTGTGCAGAATTAATTGTCTGTCCCAAATTGATCACTGATGGTGCCTAGCCATTGTTCTTGGAAACACTGCACCACTAGCAGGGAGTTCAAAGATAGATTCAGGGCACAGAAAGAGGCATGTACTCTCTCTCTTTGCCAGAGAGATTCTGGCTTTACCTGCCATTTGCACTGCTGCTCATCTTGCTTTGTTTCTTCTGACTCAAAAATTGAAGATTTAATTCTTGACTTTACTTCACACCAGCCAAGTGAGCAGTAGTTTATTCTTTTCTCTCCACATTCCCTCTCTAAACTCCAGCATGTTACTGAGACCTGTGATCCCTTTGCTTATCTACTGTTAAGTTCATTGGTTAAATCAGAGGTTCAGTTAAAAATGTACTTAATTTCATCTTTTGTATTCTGTGTCATATGCAAGTCGCCCTTTTTCTTGCTCCTAGCTCTGATTGCTCTGAGGTGCCTTGTGTCAGTAAGTAAAAAGCAGTTCCTACAGATCTCAGCTGCATTAATAGAAGATGAATCTTCAAGATTCTGGTTTTATTTAATTCAATTAAAAAAACCCCAATTATATAATATGAAAAATGCTGTGTAGGTACAAAAATAGATGGGGAAAGACAGGTCTTGTTTTACTTGAAAGAAATAAATGTGTTCATTTTCTGCTAATGTTGTGGTAGTCTGGAAGCTAATGCTGTGATTTGGTTAACTCCCTTGATGTACAGGGCAATGATCTCAGCTGACCTAAACCAAGATGGACATGAAGATCTGGTGGTTGGAGCACCAGGGTACAGCACACTGGGCCATGTTCAGATAGGACGAGTGTATGTGGTCTATGGCAACCAGTCAGGTTTGCCACCAGAGGACATGGATCTAGATGAGAAAGCTGACCAAGTACTACAGGGTCATCAGGTGAGGATTCAAGTCAGGTATTTGTCACTTAATTTTTTTTTGCCTGAAAATGTGGTAAATTTTGACTGAGCAATAGTATTATTAATATGTATGAAGATTATTCCTGAAATGCTTCTCCTGGTAAAAGGATGTCATATGCTTTTCAAGAAAAATAACCATTACTTCAGTCACAGGAACAATTAAAGCAATGGTGATCTGTAGGTTCACTTTTATTACTGTGCCAGATAGGTGGGCATTAGAGCATAATTTGCCCTTGAATAAAGCTAAGATAGTGTCTCTAAGTCACAGTATAGTTCATTTAGGTCCCTGCATTTATTAAATTATTGTGATTTTTCTCTTCCTTTTTCATCTAAAATTATTCATTCAATATAAGTTTCAGTTCCTTTGAAGCTACATTTTTTCATTAGTTGATGACTTCTCACAAAACCATTGTTTGTCTTTACTAAGAGGACACGTTATTTTTAAAAAAACCTATGATTTGACATGATGGTGACTGGCTTGTAACTGAGAAGCAGGACCAAATGATCTTTTTGAGTAATAAAGACGATCCTCTGTAGAAAGTATCTTTATTGAAAAAGAAGAGACTAGAGCAAGATATGAGACACATTTCCTTTTATTTGTTTCTGTGCTTATAAACTATGGAGTAACAGCTGCTATCTTCTTACAGAGTTTTTCAGTGGTTCACAGCTATAATGCTGTTAACAGGAAAGATCATAAGCTTAACATCAATGGTGCACTAGTCTCAGAAGAGGAAGTAGCAAAGCAGCGTCATACTGTGTTCAGTTATCTTAAAATTTAACACCTCCACATCCTCAAACAGAACAGTTGACTCCAAGTGAGTGTGTTAGTATGACAGTTACTACCTGGGAGAACAGTGACCCTAAGAAAATGTTAAGAGTTGTTGGGATAGATTTTTGTCATCTCTGTTTCCAGTTCTTGCCTGTGCTGTGATTGCAAATGTGCATTAGGTTTTGATGGTTTTGTCTTGAAAACATCTGTTGTTTTCATGAGAGCAATCCTTCTTCTTTTAGCCTTCAGGAAGATTTGGTTCTGCCTTGGCAGTCCTGGACTTCAATGAGGATGGAGTGCCAGATCTGGCAATTGGAGCACCTTCTGTGGGATCTCAGTTTCTTGCTTACAAAGTAAGCCACACACATG